GGGATATGGGAGGGGGTGGGAAGGGAATGGGAGAGGTATGGGGAGGGGCACGGAGGAGGGCTGTGCAGGAGGGGGATGGGAGGGGCTGGCTCCAGTGCCCAGCTGTCATGCCCAGCTCCACAATCTGGCCCACCCAGCTGATTATCTAAATGTGAAGGGAGCCCCCCTCTCTTCCCCTGGTCTCTTTGCTGTAGCTTGTTCATTCTTGGCTCATTTCTAACTCCAAGTTTCCACTCATGTCATCTGCATCACCCAGAATGCTCCCCTTTCTTCTGTAATAACTTACGTTGATCTATTTATTTATTTGAGGTTCGTCTGACTTCCCACCTTCTCCATGAGCCATCCTGATTGAGGGTGAAAGAACAACTACGCTGCTTCCTACATGGGATGCCCAGCACCAGGAAGCCCCTCCTCCTTGAATTCTCATAGAAACTGACTCCTGGTACATATAACTGGCCAGCGACCTCTGCAGTTGCACAGGGCCCCATGCTGTACTTAGAAGGGCCCTGAGCTGCGTTTAATGCTCTGCAGTCATTGTCTTGAAATTCTAAATAATTTTTAACAAGGGGCATCACATTTTTTTTTTCCTTTTTGTCTTTTTTCATGTCCGGCAACGGATCGCAACCCTCAGTGTCGCACCCGTACAGGAACGGGACCGGCAACGGGATCGCAAACCTCGGTGCTGCGCCCATACCTCGCTCAGCCAGTGAGCGGGAACTGGTCTGTATGTGGGATCCAAACCCTCAGCGGGAGCGCCACTGCGCTCCCAAGCGGCGCACTGTAGCAGTGCGCCACCGGGCCGGCCCGGGGCATCACATTTTCATTTTGCATTTGCTCCACAAATTATGTAGCTGGTCCTGCATAACCATATACATTAATGTGAAAAAATTGCTATATCATAAATTTATTTATAAAGTAGATACATACTCTGAATATGAGTCAGCCACAAAAAACAGATACTTCGGACTTACTACTAAACATGGAAGATCACCAGCTATTTTAAAGATTTTTGGTGTCCTTACCATACCTCTTTCATGAGGAAATGCTTGGTAAAGACAGGACACCAAGAATGACTAAATTTCATCACTTTCTACCAGAGCAATGAAGCATTAATAAAAAAAAAACAATGATAACTTTTCTTAAAAGAAGTTAAATTAGTAGCCACCGAAATTAGCTGTGGTGCCTGGACCAAGGGAGTGATACTTAATAGCAATAAGATCATATCTAAAGACTTTTTTGTGTGGACATGAAAACCTTTAATAAAACTGTAATTTTTAACTCACAGCACTGACAATGTATCATTTAGGGTGAAGTTAGAGATCCTGCCTATTGAGGGCTCTTGAAAATATCAAAGTCCTTGCAATGGGTTACATTGTATCCCCCCCCCCAAAAAAGGATATGTTTAACTCCTAATCCCTGGTGACTGTGCTTGTGACCTTATTTAGAAACAGGGTCTTTGAAGATATAATTAAGATGAAGTCATATTGGATTAGGATGAGTCCTAAATCTGATGACTGGGGATTTTATAAGAAGACACACAGAGAAAAAGGTGATAGGAAGATGGAGGCAGATACTGGACTGAGGTGTTTATAAGCCAAAGAGCTCCAAAAATTGCCAGCGCCAACCAGAAGGTAGGAGAAAGACATGGGACAGTTTCTCTTTCAGATACTTCCAAAAGAACCATCCATGCCCACACCTTGATTTATGACTTCTTCAAAACTGTGAGAGAATAAATTTTTGTTGTTTTAAGCCACCAAGTTTGTGGTCATTTGTTATTACAGCCTTAGGAAACTAAGAAAGCCCTCATACATATAAGGTACTTTTTAAAAAGCTGGGGGGGGGGGAGGATTTTTGAAGTCTACATCTAAATAATCTAAATCACTCATCTACTTTTTTAAACAAATGAGGAATATAAATCAGCATTGGCTACATGATAAAATACATTCAAAGAAATAACATTTATCATAAGGCTTTATTTTATTTTCTATTCCATCTAGTTAATGAGAGAGGAAAAAAGGAGATGGTAGGGAAAAGAAAGAAGGGCAGGAGGTAGTGAAGGCAGAAAATAAGAAATTCAGACAGCTACACACAAAGAGAAATGAGAGACACACAGAGATGAACAATGAAATAATATAGAAGCTAACATCAAATGAATACTTACTAGGTGCCAGAGACCATGATAAGTGATTTACATGTATTCTTTAAACCTCACAACACTCCCATTTTACAGATGAGAAAATCGAGGCACAAAGAGCTAAGCTCTTTGCCAAAGGTCATGTCATGGCTGGGAACACGAAGCCAGCTACAGGTACCTCATCACTGTGCTAAGTGTGGGAAGAAAGGACAGTAATCCAGACTGTTGGGACTCTGGGGGTTCACTGGCTTGAAGATTTTTAGAGCTCAGCCACAAGGTGTTATTATGTGGTGAGGCATTAAGCTCTCCTGGCAGATTCAAATTTCAGGTAAGAGGCCTCTAGGTTGAGAGGGCAGACTGGGCCTAGCAAGGCCTATTTGCTGATAAGCATGAAAATTTGATTATTCGTTCTTTTTACTGAACACTTACTCTATGCCATGCATATAATACCTGCAAACAATAACTTGAATGACAAATCATGGAAGTTTCAGAATAAAGCCTATTAGAAGTCAACATTAATAAAAGCTAATATAAAATTAATGTATAAAACACAAATTCCAAACAGCAGCAGGGGCCTTTGATAAGAGTTTTTTTTCTTCATTTAGTTCAGTGGCTTGTTACTAAAAACTTGCTGCTATATTTATAGCATGGACCTGCTTTTAGAATATTCTTCCAAAGACCATGCAACGTTTCCACTTACAGTGAGTTGGGGGTGAGGAGAGGGCTGATTGAGGGTGGAAGGGCAAGGGATGACAGAGGGAATGCCCCTCCCACTCCAGCCACTTGTTCTTAAGGACAGTGGCACGAACAGTACCATTGAAAGCCTCAATCAACTGTCACAGCTACTCCAGGGCCTGCTGTGCCTCAAAGACATCTATTTAGAACACGGAAGGGAAACACTCCGCTGGCTTGTGAATTCCTCTCGAACAACTTGTCTATTCTCTGCCTTTTCTTCTTTCAAAAGCTATAAGTTGGAAGAGGTCACACTGAATAGATATTGAGTTTTTAAGCAAACATTTAAAAAGCTGCTGCTGTTTTTCAGTGACAAATATTTAATATATTATATTAGCAACAGTACTATTTAATAAATAAGATTCAACTTTTTGTTTTAAAATGTCTTAAGATTAATTTCCCACTCAGAAATCTAAGATTAAAAAGACTGAAATTAGTTTTGAAATTATCAATCAATGAAATATACTTGTGTGTTTTTAGCACAGATTTGGACACAATATATACACAGAGAAACTATCCCATACAGACATATCACAGCAGGGCATAAGTCCAATTGCATCTTAAAGCCAAAAGAATTGGAATTTTCAAGAGGAAGGAAAAGAATCTACAAGTCCATGAAGGTCCATCCTCTCATCCATGATAGTTTATCCACAGAATGCAAAAAATCAGGGATTTCTGCCAAAAGACAGAAAGACACTTTAAGGTAAAAAATTTAATGAGGGGAAAAAATAGAAAACAGCAAAAGGAAAAAACATAAAGACTTTTTATGCTCCAAATTAGACCTGTCACTATTCAGTGATGGGAGAAATATCAGGAGCTTTGGTATAGAAGAGGACCTATATAATGCAATTCTTCACCCTGATGCTAAATATCTAGGGCTGAATAATTCCATTCCTCAGTTCCAATATAGTATGCAAATGCCTGAGCTTTCTAAAAACAGAAGTAGGGAAAAAGACCAAACTAATACAAATGTGTATTTAATAGATGCACATTTGTCCTTATGAAGAATTGGAAAGCAACAAAATAAAATCCCTTGTCACCTCTGACAAAGGGTTATCTATTTCCAAAAGCATTTGGGCTTCTGGCCCTAAAGAAAACAAAAGTTTGAAAAAAAGAAAACAATTCACATCTTGCTTCTCCTGCCTTTTTTTTTTTTTTTTTTTTTTTTTCCTGGATCCTTCCTGGCCCTAAAGAAAACAAAAGTTTGAAAAAAAGAAAACAATTCACATCTTGCTTCTCCTGCCTTTTTTTTTTTTTTTTTTTTTTTCATCCTGGATCCTTCATCTTCACTTTCTCCAACTTCTAAATTGTGCTGGGGTAAAACTTCTGACTCTATCCTGCTGCTCCTCCCCCGAACAGCATCTCAAGCTGGGTCATTTGGCATCAGAATCCCCACCCAGCCCTTCTTGGAAAACACATTAGGGCCAAGGACACGGGCCGTAATTTTCTGATCACAGTTACTACAAATCCCAGTGTGTAATGAAGATAGCAGTCTTTCCAGGTTATAAATACACATGGGAAAATCCACTTAAACGCCCACCAGATTTCCAGATTTTTTTGTTTGGTCTGGTGAGCAGGATCAACAAGCTTAGAAAGGCTGCAGGGGTGCCCCCCTGCACCCGGAGCCCAAACAAAGCTACTGGATGGTATCTCTTGTCATTTGCTTTCACAGCTGTCTACACAGAAATGGAAGGAGTTAGCATCACTGGAAACAAAAGACAAAACAAAATGTGAAACGGGCAACTGTTTTCACTTGCTCGGGGACAGCAATGTTCTTTACTGCTACTCAGAGTGGAAAAGTACTGCCAGACTTTCACCAGAACACCTATAAATGCGACAGATTGGGCATGCTCTGTGTTCCTTTCATTGGACATGGGAATACGACAAGGAAATGGGCCCAAATCTCCAGAACGAAATCAACATACAGATAGGGATTCCGGGAACAAGCATCAAGCAAAGTGCTTTCTGAAGTCTCCAGTTTGATTTCATACAAAGCAACCACGTTAAGTGAGTAGCTAAATATGGAAAGCAAAGGAATTTGCTCCCTTGTGATTTTACAGTAAGAGGCCAGATAGAAACTATAAATGGTTCCTCCTCACCTGCCCTTATATAACAGAAGAATGCAGAGGCTTACCTTGAAGTTGTGTGTCTTCTCATAGTTGAAGTGGTTGTCGTGTGTGAGCGCGGCCCTTCGAACCAGGGAGGAGATCTGCGAACAGGCAAAGAGCTTGAGAGGGGGCCAGAGAAAGCCAAAGCCGCCTCTGACACCCACCTTCACCCCCAGTGCCACGGCCAGCAGCTCTTGGCGCTTCCTGCCTTGCTTTGACTTGCGAACCACAGCACACTTTTTCTCATTTTCCAGCCACAGTTCGTCGGAGAACATTGTGCCTGGATTCCAGATCTTTCTATTTTCCCCTGTGGAGCCTGGGAAGCTCCGTGCTGTCAGGTTTTTGAACCGCAGCTAATGTTAGGCAGAGGATTCGAGGCAGCTGCGTCCTGTCTGCAGAGGCCTCCAGCATGTGACCTGGAAGGGCTGGTTTGAGTGATGGAGGGGGCTCCGCTTCTGAATAAGGACGGGCCTGTTTTGTGCTATTTCTTAAGGCCGACGTGTGCCTGGAACAATAGCGCACATTCATGTGCACAGCACCCCCCAGAAGCGGTATCCAGCCAGCCACTGAGGATCCAGGGAGGCAGGAGCAGGCAGCTGGATTTCTGCTGCACAGCACATTGCAAAGGAGAGACCTCTCCTACTTGCTAGCACATTACACACACACACACACACACACACACACACACACACACACACACACATGCATATGTGCACACACATAACTAGCTCTGATGTTCAAAGTCTGAGGCTGCCTCCAGTTATTCTGGGGCTCTGAACCCCATCCTAGGCTGAACTCAAGCAGATTAAATCTTTAAATCCTGATGATTGTTTAATCTTAAAGGGATAAAGCCTGTGTCTTTTAAAAAACCTGCCCCAGCACTTGAGAGCTTAATTTTTATTCTTATACCTGCATTAAACTGGGACATTCTGAGCACCCGTGGGGGTATCGAACAAGAGCAAAGCATCTCAGCTCTGAGTTCCACAGTCAAAGTTGCAAAGTAGGAGGTTGTATTTCTTGCTCCAGGATACCCCCGTCTCTCCTTCCCTCCCACCCACCAACACCCCCACTGAAACCCACACAGACAATAGTCCTTAACTAAAACCAAAACATCATAGTTGCTCTTATTTTAAATAAAACATCCTCAAGGTTCATTTGGGGAGTGTCCGAGCCTATAAAAATGCCCTCATTGCTCTTAAAAGCATCATCTGTTTGATGGTCTCCTATGGGACCGTAGTTTTTTGGTCTCTGGTCTCTTCATTAATAGAAGTGGGGAAATCATGATGTATTGAGTGTACTCCTGACCTGTTGGTGAAGTTTAATGCAGCTAAATGCCAGACAGTAAAATCAATGCTTTCGGAACCAGAAAGCAAGAAAAATGTAGATGACTGGACCATTACATAGTTTAATTTCATCCTCAACTGAGAAATGGCCCCACATCCCAACCCCTCCAAGCAGCATTGTGGAGAGTAACAAAGGATCAATTCTTTCTTTATGTAATTCTTTATTCCTAACAATCACCATCATTTCAACTTGGTTCAGAAGTCAATCTTCCCATTTCATCCTCTTGTTAACTTCAATAATAATAAAAGCCATTTTTTACATTGAACTATTGAGCACAATAGCTTATGTTGTGCCAGACGATGTTCAGAGTGTGTTAAATGCTCTTGCTCATTTAACCTTTAGCATATTGGTATGAAGAGCAAGATTTTTATCCCCATTTTTTTCAGATGAAGAGATTGAGGCACCAAGAGGTACAGTAAGGACATGCAGCTGGTTTAAGTGGCAGAGCCAGGACTAGAATGCTGCCTAGGTATGCCGACCGGCCACATCCTGCAGTCATTTCCTGCCCCAAGCATTATCTGAAATATTGTCGAGTCTTACTGTTCTTGCCCCACAATAACTCAGACCCTTGTTATCTTTGCAGTCCACACAGCTTCACAATAATCTTCTAATGCAGCCACCAGTCCACATCTGCTCAGAGGATGCTGGTGCCTCTCCATGGCTTACCTGAGTCCTGGCATTGCAGGTTTTTCATGAGCTGGTCCCAGTGCATCCAGCTCATCTTATCTCCCTACACCCCCTATACAGATCCTACAAAGTCTCTTCTCTGACATACTCAACTTCTCACCTGGGTAGCTTGCTCTGTCCTTTCAAATATTCCAGCATCATTTCAACATGTCCACGTTTTCACCAACATTCGCATTCCTGTCACCCTCTCCAAAAAGACTTCTTCAACTCCCCACTGGAGGCAAATTCTCTCCTCTGAAATCCCATCACATTTTATCCACATTTTTCTGTTTGTGCTTACCACTTTCTATCTTGTGTGGGAGTGACTTCCAGAAGGTCTTATCCCCCTGTCATACTGAGAACTCATTGTCACATGCTCAATGCCTAATTTGCCTTTATTTCCCCTACAAGGATGTCTAATAAGACTCCTTGCCATAATAGGCACTGAATAAACGTAAGTTGCCAGAAAGTCCTACACGCATAGGGAGCCGGAGTTGTGGAGGAAGGTGTACGAAGGTGACCAAATGGTGTGGGGTCTCCTACCCTACCCTTGTGATCACCTATCCCCATGCCTTGGCTTCCAAGCACCTAAGCCAGCAGGGGTCTTCCCTCCAGAGGGCTCCACCAGACTCCTCAGCACTCCTTCCCATTGTCCCATCCTGAAGGACAACTGCCACTGATGGGGAGTCAGGGAGGGCTTGCTGTGCCTTTGACAGGCTTCTGATCCTCAGCCTAAAGGTGCAAAGATGGATGGGACTAAGGCTCCTTCCCCAAACCTTCACCACAACAGTGATTTGGACTAGGTTAATTATATGAACATGAGTATACAGTTTAGTCTGATAAAATAACTCTTTAAATGGAAAGTGAGCAAAAAAGGTTCTCTTCCTTCTTTTGGTAAATGGCTGGCTGAATAAAAGGAGATGTAATATTTTCTCTTGAGTCTGTGCCTTTACTTATAACAAGTCATTTTTATTTCTATTTGCAACAGTGATTTCTTTCTCAGATATTTATTGAATAGAATTTACCCAAACACAAGACACATTCAGACCTGTGAAGGGACCACACGTGGTTCTGTTAGGATGCTTCTCCACAGGGACAGTGAGTGTCAGCATGTGAGTGAGTATTATTGGGAATAGCACGTGTGACCTCAGATCACCCTCTCATTAAAGAAAAAGATGACAAAAATCTCTTGGTGAAAACTTTTCTCCTAAATAACCAATTGCACAGAGCTCTTCCTTATCTAAGCGCCTCAGTGCCAGCTCCTTGGTTTCTTTTATACCCTCCACAACGTCTAACGCAGTGTTCTCTGTACACAGCCGGCATTCAGTGCTTCTGCTGACGGTCTTCTTCTGACAAAACTTTCTATCTGACCTGTTTTTATATATACGTTCATTAGGTTAAGCACATTTCTCTACATGCTCTGTTTAAACTAGGGATTATCACTGGGGTGACTGATATTTTGGGCTGGATAATCCTTTGTCATGGGGGTCTGTCCTGTGCATCGTAGGGTGTTTAGCATCATTCCCTGCCTCTACTCACTAGATGCCAGTAGGATGCCACCCCCACCAATTATGGTAATAAAAAATATCTCCAGACATTGCCAAATGTCCCCTGGGAAGCAAAAGTGCCCCCGGGTGAGAATACCTCTATTAAATTAATAATGCAAATGTCGACAGCATGCTTACTATGAGCCAGGTGTTGCACTAAGCACTTTGTATAATTTGACTCATTTAAGATGAACAACGCTATGAGGCAGGTACTGTTATAATCACCCTCGTTTTACAGATGAGCAAACGGGAACTGACAGTTTCAGTGACTTTCCCAAGGTCACACAGCTGGTAAGTGGTAGAGATAAGACTAGAACCTAGGCACAACTAAGTAGGTCTATGCTTCCCCCCCACCCCTACCATGACCCCAAGAACAAGTTTCTTTATCTTTTTATTGTGGTTAAAATACACTTAACATACAATTTACCGTTTTAGCCATTTTATAGTGTATAGTTCAGTGGCATTTAGTGCACCCCAGTGTTCTGCAACCATTACCTCTGTCTAGTTCCAGAACATTTTATTACCCCCAAATGAAACACCATATCCACCAGCAGTCACTCCCCATTCCCTTCTCCCCGCAGCCCCTGGCAACCACCAATTTGCTTTCTGTCTCTATGAGTTTGCCTATTCTGAATATCTCCTATAAAGGAAATGACACAATGTACAAAGGGACTTCAAAAAGTTCGTGGAAATATTCATATTATCATTTAATTCTATTTCTCCACAAACTTTTTGAAGTCCCCTTGTATGGCTTTTTGTGTCTGGCTTCTCTCACTTTGCATAATGTTTTCAAGGTCCATTTATATTGTCGAATGCATCAGTACTTCATTTCTTTTTATTGCTGAATAATGATCCACTGTGTGGATATACCACATTCTGTTCATCCATTCATCAGCCAATGGACATTTGGACTGATTTTACCCTTTGGCTATTGTGAATAGTGCTACTGAAAACATGCTTGTACAAGTTTCATTTGAACACTTATTTTCAGTTCTTCTGGGTATACACTAAATCTATCCTTTTAACCATCCTCTAAGCTGCGTCTCATCCCAGTAATGCTCACATTAAAAAATATCCAGCAGTTGAATTCTGGAATGACTCTCTTCCCCATTGTTAGCCTGTTAACAACTAGCAGCACCAGTGTTCTCTGGGCTGGTTTCTAAAGAGGAGGCTGCTGTTCTCCCCGGGCCCTCTGTGAAAGCAGGCACTACTCAAGATAGCTTTGGAAGTAGGTGGGGCTATAAATAAATGGTAAAATAAGCTCACCACTACGCTTTTTTTTTTCTATAAATAAGAGTTGGAATTCTGTTTTCTAAGGCTTCCCACTGTACTTTCTCTCTATGATTAGGATCCTGGATTCAAGAAGGAATCAGGTGACAAGAGGCAGTGAAAGGTTGTCAGATGAAGACAAGGAGGGACGAATGGGTCACTGTGCAAGAAGATGTGGGGAAATGAGCCATGTACTTGTCAAGTGCCCAGGGAAGAGGGATGGTAGGAGAGAGAAGAATGCCCCTCCCCCTGCACTGACTTTGATCACCTGGAGT